GAAACCACTAGTTTCCTGTAAGACACCTTTAGATCCCATTAGAAAAATAAACCATCAAATGCATCTGGAATCAGAAAACCAGTTAAACCATTCCTTTACACTGTGATATCAACCCATCAGGAAAACCCAGAATACCAAGAGAGACTATTGGACACCAGCAGGAACTTTTAATGGTTTATTTTTTGATCAAGAAACATACATCAGCATGCTAGCAACACAAGCTAACTGATCTCAGACAACACAGGAGAGATTCTCCACTCAGGGACTCTTTTGTTTCCATAAAGATAACAGATTAGCGTTACTCTACATGCTGTGTCAGCAGCGCTAACACCAGCCAACTCTTTCTACATCAGGATTCAGTGAGTTGTCCTGTTTGGCTCGGTCTTCATGCTCCTGCTGGTCATCTGAAAAGTCCTGAAACTGCAGCGTGGTATTCCAGCCTGATCCTCTGCAGCGCTGACTCAGTGAAAATCCCTCATTCTCACCCACTGCTGAACTGCAGGCCATCAGAAGATCAGGAGCACGACCTCCTTAAAGCTTTGACTCATCATAACTGACAGCGAGCTGCAGAGCATCAGCGTGAGTAAGTAAGCGCCCTGTGGCTGTGATGTATACTGCGTGTTTCTGAGCTACTGCAGCGCAAAAACTACAGCCATGTGTCAGTATTGATGATGATGATGAAGATGGTCAAATTTTAATTAGAACGGTGCCCTGATTGCACCAAGCACACGTTATTAAACGCTGAAAGACTCAGCACAGCTTTACTAGATATTAGCAGTAACTAAAACTACCAGCCCACAGATACAGTACAGCCAGAAGTATGTGGACACCTGACCATCACACCCATATGAGCTTGTTGGATGTCTCATTCCAAAACCATGGGCATTAATAAGGAGTTGCCCTCCTTTGTGGCTCTAACAGCTTCCACTCTTTTGGAAAGCTTTCTACAAGATGTTGGAGAGTCTGTGGGAATTTTAGCTTGTTCATCCAGAAGAGCTTTTGTGAGGTCAGACACTGATGTTTGACGAGAGGGCCTGGCTCACAATCTCCGTTCTAGTTCATCCCAAAGGCGTTCAGTGAGGTCAGGTCTCTGTGAGGGCCACTAGAGTTCCTCTGCACCAACTGGTCACTCCGTGTCTTTATGGAGCTGCTTTGTGCACAAGGGCTCAGTCAGGCTGGAACAGGAAAGGCTCTTCCCCAAACTGCTGACACAAAGCTGGAAGCAGATAACTGTGTAAAATGTCTTTGTGCTGCAGCATCAACATCACCCTTCACTGGAACTGAAGGGCCCAAACCCTGAAAAACAACCCAGCCCATTATCCCTTCTCCACCAAACTCTACTGTTTATCCCTCCTCCACCAAACTCTACTGTTTATCCCTCCTCCACCAAACGCTACTGTTTATCCCTCCTCCACCAAACGCTACTGTTTATCCCTCCTCCACCAAACGCTACTGTTTATCCCTCCTCCACCAAACTGTACTGTTTATCCCTCCTCAACCAAACTCTACTGTTTATCCCTCCTCAACCAAACTGTACTGTTTATCCCTCCTCAACCAAACGCTACTGTTTATCCCTCCTCCACCAAACTGTACTGTTTATCCCTCCTCAACCAAACGCTACTGTTTATCCCTCCTCCACCAAACTGTACTGTTTATCCCTCCTCAACCAAACGCTACTGTTTATCCCTCCTCAACCAAACTCTACTGTTTATCCCTCCTCCACCAAACTCTACTGTTTATCCCTCCTCAACCAAACGCTACTGTTTATCCCTCCTCCACAAACGCTACTGTTTATCCCTCCTCCACCAAACTGTACTGTTTATCCCTCCTCCACCAAACGCTACTCTTTATCCCTCCTCCACCAAACTCTACTGTTTATCCCTCCTCCACCAAACTCTACTGTTTATCCCTCCTCCACCAAACTCTCCTGTTTATCCCTCCTCAACTAAACTCTACTGTTTACCCTCCTCCACCAAACGCTACTGTTTATCCCTCCTCCACCAAACTCTACTGTTTATCCCTCCTCCGCCAAACTGTACTGTTTATCACTCCTCCGCCAAATGCTACTGTTTATCCCTCTTCCACCAAACTCTCCTGTTTATCCCTCCTCAACCAAACTCTACTGTTTATCACTCCTCCACCAAACTGTACTGTTGGCTCTGCATTCCGGTAGGTAACGTTCTCCTGACATCCACCAAACCCAGATTCATCATCAGATTGACTGATAGAGAAGCTGATTCATCTCTCCAGAGAACACGGTTCCACTGCTCCAGAGTCCAGTGGCGGCGCCACTCCAGCTGACACTTGGCATTGCGCATAGTGATCTTAGGCTTGTGTGCAGCTGCTCAGCCATGGAGACCCATTTCCTTCGAGCTCCTGATGCTCAGATCTTATGCTGATGTGGCTTCCAGAGGCAGTTTGGAACTCTGTAGCGAGTGATGGGTAATTTTCACACTACTTAAGCACCCAGCAGAACCGCTCAGTGAGTTTCTGTGGTCACACTGCTGATGCTTCCACTTCACAATAACAGCACTTACAGTTGTCTGGGGCAGATCTAGCAGCACAGACATTTCACAAACTGACTTGTGGCAGAGGCGGCATCCTATGACAGTGCCATGTTTAAAGTCACTGAGCTCTTCAGTGCAACCCTCTACTGCCAGTGTTTGTCTATGCAGACTGAAAGGCTGTGAGCTTGATTTTTTACACCTGTTAGCAATGAAACACCTGGACTCAGTAATTAGGAGCGCCGTACAGTGTGCGTCAGTAATGTGATAAATTGGGCTAGTATTTGATTTTTTTTTGAGAATTTTCCTCAGCCAATAGATGATATTTGGAGAAAGATGGGCTCATATTTTGGCAGCAAAAGTGGTACTTTGTGTCATTGATCCACAGCGTTAATCTTTAACTGCTAAATCAATTACACAATAGATCACAATAAATCAGATTTACAGGACATTTTGTTTAGACCTGGAACGGAAATTTCAAAGAAGAAGCTGGAAAGTCAGAGCCCAACTTTACTGAGACATTTAAGGCAAATGAGTGATGATTTAGGCACAATGCTAATTGGTGGGTATAGGCTTCCATTACATGTCTTGCTTCCAGGACAGACTCATTAATTCTGAACATAAACTACTGCAGGAACATCAGGACCATCAGGAACATCTTCATTTCTGCAGATTCACCAGACTAATCAAGCTCAGCTGCACAGTTACGCCTCTTTATCTCCACTCAGAGCAAACGGAAAAAGAACTGACACAGAACGGAACGAGTGAGACACGCTGACGCTGCGAAGACAGGAAATGGAAAATGAGCACAATGAATATGTAAGATGAATAAGACCAACTTAATAAACGTTGCCTTATCTAACAAACATCGGACTTCCTGCACTTGCATATTTTTTGCTGAAATGAATCTACAAATGGATATTCCATCACAGTTTGCAAAATATTTATGTTAATAAAAGTGAATATCAGTGTTATTGTGGTTTGATCCACTGTGAGAAGAAAGCAGGACAAACATGTGGAGGAGAGACAGTTCACAAAGATCTCATCGTCCAGGTTTAACAGCTGTGACTGGATTATGTAGAATCCAGTTTGATGATATGCTAATAACCCTTTTCTTTAGAGTACGTCTCTCTATTAAGTCTCAGGGAAAACAGCACCAAATATTACAAATGAACAGGTGAGTTTTGTGTAAAACATCCAACAAAGTCTAAACAAAGGTTTAGTTAAATATTAGTGGACACTGTATTTTAGTGGGCATTGTGACGTTATCCATACTTAGTGCATGTATATTGTGGCGCAGAAGAGCAAAATGAACCTAGTTAAGAAAAAAAAACACAGATTCAGGTTCCTTGGACCTTTAAAGCACATCTACGATCAGGACATCAACAACTAAATCAAACACCACTAATACATCAGATTTCAGGTAAATCACACGGTTCACTGTAAAAATGAACTTGCTGAGTGAAATTATTTGACATCATGTCAATATATCTAATATTTCTCATTTCGAAATTGCTGTAAAAACATTATTGTGCAACATTTTCTTCCATTTTTACCTGTTAAGTCATTTTATTGACTTTTATTGAGTTGCTGAAGATAATTTTACTCACTTTAATTACTCAAGTAAAGACAAAATGCCTGAAGGAAGTAATTTGCCAGTGTAATATGCGAAATACAGTTCAGTAGGTCACTACAAATAAACATGTCCAGAAATAGGTTGAATAAACTGATCATATTTTCCAGCAAATCTCATCATGAGAAATATTAAATACTGTAATGAGAGTTAAGATGATTCCACCTAAGATTTATGATTTACAGCATTGCAGTGGCCAAATTTCAACAAGTAACTCTTTATTTATCATAAACACTGAATAATAACTATAAACATAATCATGTTGAATTCTGGGTAATGATGATAAAGGAGTCTCTTCTTCTATAAACAGGGACGTTTTAAGCCACAGTCACACGTGTGGCCATTCTGATGCAGTAAAAACACGAGGTAAACACATTTATATCAGATAATTATATATTTGTGAGTTTAGTGCTGTGGTTAAAAAGTGTAGATGGGCAGTGTGGCTGGTGTGCGCAGCAGCACTTGGCCAAGCCGCTAACATAGCAGTTAGCAAGCTGGCTAACCTGCCTATTATAAACAGTAAAAATTAAAAAATGAAGATAGTACATCAGTCTAATACTGTCGCCCGACTGGCTGTGCATCTTACTTTTGTGTTTGTTTTGAGTCAGTGGAGAAGAAATGTTTGATGCTAACTGCTAAAATTAGCATTTCCTCCATTCAGGAACTGCAGTATACAAAGCTCCGCCCCTTCTGAGGTCAACACAGCCAAAGTAGCAGCACTATTGGTTGAGGACATGTTAAAGTCCACTCACTGGGACAAGTTCCGTTAAACTGAATGCACTTTCGCTGACATCTCAGTCGTGAGTCTTTATGGCAGGAAGTTATCGGCAGTGGTTGTAGCTGGACATCCTGAAGGTCCTTCTTCAGTCAAATGTCGTCTCGTTTTCATGACATTCGTAAAAGTCATAATCCCCGTCCGCAGTGACGGTGCCGTTGCCAGGGGCGACCTCACTGACCACGCTGCGTAAGGTCACCCGGGTCACGCTCAGAGACTGCTTCCTGGGCACTGGAAGCCGCGTGTGGCGACACATCACCTCCTTAAACATCTCCCTGAAGCGAGTGGACATCAGGTTGTAGAGGATGGGGTTAACGGCGGAGCTCAAATAGAAGAAAACCCCCGAAATCACGTGGACGTACTCGTACGCCTGAAAAATCTCCACCTGGCCACCGGCCCACTGGTCAAGGAAACTCCACATCAGACGGTCAGTGTGAAATGGAGCCCAGCAGATACCGAACATCACCACCAGCACGACTGTAGAGGAACAAACACACATTTGATGCATTTAAAGTGATAGTTCAGCAAAAGTGTTCAAAACCCCCAGCAGACGACAATAAGGAAAGGAAGCAGTGATTCAGTGAATTAAAGCGAATTACTAATATGCATTATGTAAATTACACAGTTATTCACAGTTAGCTGCGTTAGCATGTTCGGTCAAGCCGTCTCTTTAAAGCCGCATCTTTAGGCCTAAATATATGTTTCCTTAAGTAGGAACTCCACCAAAGTCTTAAAATATCTAAATAATACATTTTTTTAGATGTAACAGAGCCACTCAGAGTGGTTCAGAGTGGTTTGGCGTGAAACTCTCTGAAAGTTCTAGATAAACTTACCGAGTCAGAACTGTTCACAGTGGTGGTGATAGGAACCAGACGTCCACCTCTAAAAGCTCCCTCACAGAAAGTTCCTACAGTAAATGGTTATGAATTCACTGCCTGATGACTGAGACACTGTTTTATGATAGTTTAGAGAACTTAAACTCCATTCATGGTGGAGGGATACATGCAGGGCGCTGTGAGGCAAAATAGTCCCCAAAGAAAACTTATTATTTCAGATTTTCCACTATTTTCCATCATCAACATTCCATATAAACTCAGAAGACTCGTGTAGGTTCACTGGTGGTTCTGGATAGTAAATAAAATGTCTATATCTGTGTTGTAGTCATGGCGACCCCTGGTTCCTATCACCACCACTGTAAAGACATCTGAACTATTTCACACCAAACCACTCTGAAATACTTTTTGTGAAATTTTGAAATATTGGTGGAATTCCTCTTTCAGTTGTAAGTAGAATGTGAGACGGCTAATCTTGTTCTTATGGACACACAGTGTACATGTAGGACGTATGTCCTCTGAATAACTTTCCAGTAACCAATAAACAGCTGATGAATTTTGCTATAGTTCTGTCATCAAGTGTAAACTGGAAAGTCCTAATTTTGGGAACCCATATGGCAAAAACTATATTCCAAATGTATTTATCAAATATATTTTTGCAATGTATGAAAATGGCCAAAAAGTATTTATTAAATATATTTTAGATGTGTTTATCAGTATTAGTTATTATCTGTGTTCAGTTGAGTGTAATGAAGGTTCCAGATGTAACTAAATGTTCTTCTGTGATCTGCACTGTGCTCTACATTAACTATGTACGTCTGCAGTCAGACTCTCACACACAATGTATTTCACATAAACAAGATATCAGATCATAACTGCATTTCACAGAGTATCAATACCCACAACACTCGCTTCTGTCCTGTTAAAGGATCATTAGATCAGATTTAAAATGAAGATACTGGAACACAAATTCATCTCTAAAGGTATCAGACAGTGAAGAGCATCAGACAGGATTCTGGATATTTTCATACATTTTCAAATTGATCTGATAAACATTTACATACATTTATGTTTGTCTCTGTGTAAATATTTCCACATACATTTTAAAATATATTTGGTTAATATGACGATATATTCTGATACACATTTAAGTGTTCGGAATGTGTCTCAGCATCGACTGCAATGTATTTGAAATGTATTTCAAATATATAAAAATACATGTCCATATATTTTTTTTTTCATATGAGTAGTGTGTATGTAAGCAGCATCCTGACCAATCAGATGGCTGATTGAACTTACAGAGAGAGAGCTAACCTAACAAGCATAACAAAGGGATCAAGCAAGCTGTCTGTCTGACCGCTGCCATTTGTTTGTTTGTTTGTTTAAGCAGCCAGCAGTAAAGACTGGGACTGAGGGCTGTCAATCTGTTTTATTTAATTTCTATGTTTTTTATTCCAGCTTTGCTGGATGTTTAATGTAACACTTATTTAAGCTTCTTTAAGATTCTTTGGGATATTAAATATATCAGCTGTATGAAATGACCATCATACAGATCCACAGATTTACTCACACAGCATCTTAGTGACCTGCTGCCTGCGCGCTTTCTGCTGCTGACCGCGAACTCCGCCGTATCCGTCCTGCTGCGGTCCGTCTGCGGCCTGCAGCGCCTGCAGCATCCTCTCCCTGCGCAGCCGCAGGCCGATCAGCAGGTACAGCACGCTGAGGGTCAGCATGGGCAGCAGGAAGAAGATCAGCGTGGTGATCTGGATGATGAGGTTGTACATCCAGCGCGGTTTGACTAGCATGCAGGTGTCCGAGCCGGGCAGGCCGCCCTGGCCCCGCCCCCGTGGCCGCGGCAGGGTGAAGATGCCGTGCAGGCTGGTGTTGGGCAGAGCGCACACCACCGACACGCCCCACACGCACAGGATCACCCGCCTCGCGTGGGTCCGGGTCATCACGTACTTGGCCCGGAGCGGGTGGACCACGGCGATGTAGCGCTCCACGCTGAGCGCCGTGACGTTCAGGATGGAGGCGAAGCACACGGTCTCGAACAGGAAGGTTTTGAAGTAGCAGCCGCTCTCCCCCAGCAGGAACGGGTAGTTGCTCCACAGCTCGTACAGCTCCAGCGGCATGCCCAGCAGCAGCACCAGCAGGTCCGACACCGCCAGGCTGAACAGGTAGAAGTTGGTGGGCGTCCTCATCACCCTGTGCTGCGTGATGACCGTGCAGGTGAGAATGTTACCCATAACCCCCACGGAGAAGATCAGCAGGTAGGTGACGCAGACGGGCAGGAAGACCGGAGAGCGCCGCGGGCCGAGATACTTCTCCAGGTACTCATCCGGGTCCAGGCAGTAATCCTCCAGCTCCGCCGCGCTGAAGTTCTGAGCAAAGCTGGAGTTACACAGCAGGTCCTGGACACACGTCAGTGCTGCGGACGAGCAGTTGGGTTTGGCCATTGTCTTAGAACTGGAGATGATATTAACATAGCCAAATTTAGACAGCACCAGCTTCATTTACTTTACATATTCATTTAATGGTCTGATGGGTTGTGACGACATTAAACAAGCTGATAGTTCTGGTCCTAAACTCTTTCTGCTGCGTTCAGAACTCTTTTAAAATCCTTCATATTCACACGGCTACAACGTCACACAACAGCTCTGTTTCAATGCACCAACTCACTTTAAAGCCTTGAGCTGATAATGTAATAATGTAATAATCCTTGATTGTTATGCTGCTCACACAGAGCACTGAGAGCACTGATGAAATTAGATCCTGGTTCTGTTTAAACTGAGGGGCTGACAACTTACTTTCTCAACTAGAACGAGGCTCACCTGTGAGGAAAACCAGCAAAGACCAGCATGACTGAAAACCAGCATATGTTGGTGCTTTTGGATGCTGGTATGCTGGTCAACCAGTATAACCATGCTGGGTGACTTGGTAATCAGGCACCAGACCAGCATAAACGATTTTAGGCCAGCATAAACCAGCATAAGCCAATTTAGACCATCATAAACCAGCATAAACCAGCTTAGACCAGCATGGACTTCAAAGTGGTCCAAACTGTTTATTTCAGCAAGGCAGCTAGCTAACAGGCTAAAAGGTAGCTAACACGCTAAAAGGTAGCTAACAGGCTAAAAGCAGCTAAAAGGCTAAACAACTACTCCTTTTATATCGCAGGCTTTAAATACCGAAATACACATGAAGAGCTACTTCTAAAGTGAAGAATATTGAAGACACATTAAACACCTGTATATTATGGTATGTTCATTACTGTATGTGACAAAGTGTTGATAAATCGACTGTTTTATACAGTTTTATACAGTGACGTGTGACTGAATGTTCTTGTCCTCTCCATGGTCTGTGGTTTCTAGGCAACAATAACGGCCTCTAATGGATCTACATTTCTTGGCGGAATAATTTACCAGGCTTGTTCTTAATAATAAATGATTTATTGTAAAATTGTGTAATTTTTATGCTGTTATCATTTAATAAAAGCTATAAGCCACTTGAGGTTGTACGTGATTTTAATGCAAATAAAGAGGTTGTAATTCTGTGCCTTATAACCCCTCACTGTGATAAAATCACTGTAACGCACGGCTCTCGCTGCTCATTGCTTTATAATGCAGATTACGCAGAACACATTCATGTACCTGTTTCTGACTCGTCTCTGGAGCTTCACTTCAGCTTCCACAGATTCATCAGCATTTTCTACAACTGAGATAAAAAGTGTTGAAGAACTGCGTCACCAGTTAAACACATCAGACATCACACAGAACACCTACGCCTGCTCCGTGACGCTCAGATTGGCTAAAGAGAAACTATATGTTTAATAAAGTTATTAAGAAGTAGAGGAATAGAAGTCTTATAGCTCTTCTCACTGTAGTTAAAAAATCAAAGGCTTTATAGAGGAATATGAGTAAAACACTGGAAAGACAAAATAACATTCATATATTTAGGACAGTAGTTTTTCCTGCAGTGAAAAGAACAAGAAGAAATTACAGGAGAATTACTTAATTTCATGCAATGTTTACAGTCTTAGAAATGATGGTTCCTCCAGGGTTCCTTGAGTAAAGAAAATGGTTCTATATAGAACCATAAACACTCACTTTGCATGCTTAAACGGTTCTCTGCATCGTTAAGGGGTTCTACAGATTGATGGAGGATGTGCTGTGGATGGTTCTATATAGAACCTTTTTGAGAATGGTTCTATATAGCACCAAAAAAGGTTCTTCTATCATTACAAGCTTGACACTGGAACAATAGAGGAACCCTTTTTGGTGCTGTATAGAATCCCAACCCTGAATGTGACGCACAACTTCAAAGCTCTGCTCAAAACCCCATATTTGACCTGACGGGTTTTAAATCTTACTAGGCATAGCAACAGTAGCTTAGGGGCGGGGCTTAGTGAGCTTAGTGAGTCAGTTGGACTTTAGGTGGCGCTGTGTGTTTGTTTGGGTGGGTCTGAGTTGAAGTTGACGTTCTGAATGAAGGTGATTCACCCGCTGACACACTCTGAGCTGGAGACGGATTGTCGCGTGTCGCCTCTTGTTGATTTAATAACTTTGTCGTCATTCTGTCTAATTATGCTGACGTTCTCTCTCATTATCGTTAGTATGGGTGGAGACCAATGAGGAACGAGATGAACCGATAAAACTGGAGAACAAACACATTAACTCGTCTACATTAACGTTACTCAGACCAGAGCTGAATCACGTATGAATCACTGATTCATGAAACTGTCCTATGGAATTAGCTGAGGGCAAACAAGCCCCACCCACTGCAGCCCTCATTTAAATATCATCACAATTAAAGGACTAACGAACTAATAAAGATCCAAGACTGGAATTCAGATTAATATTTACAAATTAACATTCTAGCACAAGAACTGCTGAGTATACAGTTATTATTATATCACTATCAATGTTATTAATATTACTGATATTATAGATTATATTCGACATAATTTTGATAATTTACCCACAAACCAATCATTTTGATGAACCGGATGTCAGATTTGACTGAATGAGATTCAGCATCTTTAATTTCCTAGTGCTAATTATTATGTAGGGGTCCTCTTATGACATTTATTTGGTTTTGTGTACCATAAACAATCATAATTCATTTCTACATGATTATTTTCTTTTCTTTATCATTTTAAACAGGCTGTTTTTGTTACTGTGCCTTTAATACAGGAGGTTTTTCATGATATGAGTCCTTTAAAATCTAGACGATGTTGTGTGAACTCGTTCGTCCTCATCCAGCTCCGTTTACACATTTACACACTGCAGTGCTGTGAGCATTAATTCAGGTGTTAATTTACCTGCTAAAATGTAATTCAGTCTAAAAGAACCTGAACACATACGGTTACAGCAAGTGTTTAAACAGCTGCACAGCATTAATCAGTACTGTTTGTGTTTAAACAATCATGTTAGAAACCAGATTAAATATATTCTAATTCTGACGCTGATGAATGAATGTGAGGTGAATCCTGATTCTCTTTATCTGTCTGAGCCGCTCAGAGCTTCAGAATAAACACAGATAAACTGTAAACACTGCAGCTCCTCAGTGAGAGCTTTACAGTGTAAAAAAAACACTGACAGACAGAAAATCACCACTGACTGTATTAACACTAATGTTATTTGTGTTTATTCTGATATTAGTGTTTTTGTCCAGATAAAGAGCTTTTTAAACATAACATTCTCAGATATATTTGCTGTGTATGAATTCAGTCATCTGAAAACGCTGTTATAGAGTCAATGTGAAAAATGACCCTTTGATGTTTATTGTTATTATAAATAATGTTGAGTCTTACCTGAGAGAGAAGTTCTCCATGAAACCTGCATCGGTCAGTTTGTTCTTTCACAGAGCCGCAAGAGAGAATGAACCGCCCCCCCCCTCCCAACACACACAGAGATCTACATCACCACACACACACACACACACAGATCTACATCACCCCACACACACACACACACACACACACACAGATCTACATCACCCCACACACACACACACACACACACACACACGCATACACAAACACACACACAGATCTACATCACCCCACACACACACACACACACATACACAAACACACACACAGATCTACATCACCCCACACACACACACACACACATACACACACACACACACAGATCTACATCACCCCACACACACACACACACACACACACACGCATACACAAACACACACACACACATACACACACACACACAGATCTACATCACCACACACACACACACACACACACACACACACGCATACACACACACAGATCTACATCAACACACACACATACACACACACACACACACGCATACACACACACACACACACACACACACACAGATCTACATCACCACACACACACATTCACACACATATAAGAGAGAGAGAGAGAGAGAGAGAGAGAGAGAGAGAGAGAGGGAGAGAGAGAGAGAGAGAGAAAGCGAGATACGGAGAGATACCAGAGAGAAGAAAACAGTTGTGTGTGTGTGTGTGTGTGTGTGTGTGGGTGTGTGTGTGGTGTGTGGGGGGCTCTGATGTTCTCATGAGGTTCTAATGAAAGTGTTTTATCATGGCTGGATCTGCTCCTCTGTAGAGTCTGATCAGCTCTACCTGCTGGAGCTCAGCGTCTCCGTCTGTTCATTGTTCATGTCTGAGCTCCTCATCGCTGTGAGATATTTACATTATCACACTGTACAATCCTCAGAAATCTGCCTATAGTTTGTTGGTGAAAAGCGTAAACAGTTCAGATTGACTCTCATAATCTGGATTATAATATGGACCGACTGATAAACATCCATCTGAAACAAAACTACACCACTGATATATGCAGCAGTGGGCTACACCCGTTTCCATGGTCACAGTACTGTCGTTTCCACTGTACACCTATTCAAATGGTCACCCTACACCTGTTTCCATAGCCATGCTGCACCTGTTTCCATGGTAACACTACATCCATTTCAGTGGTTACGCTCCACCAAATTCCATGGTTTTGCAACATCTACACCAAAACTACATCCTTGCTGTTGTACATGAGCTGATGATGCCACAGTTGGCCTGATTTGGTCCCTAAAATAAGGAACATCTGTATTAATATATCAGGATGTACTACAGTCTGTCTGAACATATACAGTCTATATATTTACATCAGCACATTTAAAACTAAACAGTAGAAGCCATATCGCCCCCTACACTTCCTGTAGTGTATTACAGTCTGTCAGAGTGACTGTGTGGATCATATGAACATTATAGAGCTTTTTAAATTAAACAGTAGAAGCCATATCGTCCCCTACACTTCCTGTAGTGTATTACAGTCTGTCAGAGTGACTGTGTGGCTCATATGAACATTATAGAGCTTTTTAAATGAAACAATAGAAGCCATATCGCCCCCTACACTTCCTGTAGTGTATTACAGTCTGTCAGAGTGACT